TGGGCAATAGTGATGAATGTTATGTGTAACTTTCATAATCACTAGCAGTTGAATTTGGTTTACTGATCAAGTTTTTTTATACTATTTACAGGTAAACGACCCTGATCCTGTCTTGTGGATGGTGAGTTAACTTCACCGGTGATCTAATTATTAATACTAATAAAAATTGTTAATAAAACAACTTTTAAACTAAAGTATTCATTCATTTTATACGCCCCGTGAAGTTTAAATTATAATATAAAGTATTCTCTTGGTTCTGGAATAGTGGTTCTAATTAAAATTTTTCAGTGTTTCTCTAATGGAATTTACATAGGCATTCATATCAATCAAAATGTATAGCTATATTTAGTGAAGACGACATATTGAGAATATATATTTTACCGTGTGGACGTTTCCAGAAACGTCATCTGTGGTGCAAGCCCATAAAATATGTACATAAAGTGAAAGAGAGAAAAAAAGCGCATTATATTCCGAAACTCTAACCCTAAATACCATTAAGGTAAGAACATAAACCCTCAAAATTTCTGCAGAAGAACTGCAGAAGTCAATACAGACTGCCATAATGTTGACTTACCTGTCGTTATTATTTACAAGAAAATGAAAGCAAACAAGTAAATTTGAAACAGCATTTAGTTTATTTTTTCCCCTTTAATCTTCTTTTTCCGAAAAGACAATATTTACGCCTGTTCTTTGAAGGTTTGATTCTCATGTCGATAATATACGATAAAAAATCGAGAAATCGTCTGCTATAATAACGGGCGTTGTGTTATAAATAAAACGTAACATGACCGTTTTATTGACGTTTTTTTTTCTGTTGGTAGGTGGTGTATGCTGTACCTTCTATACTAACCCTGCTGATTAAACTCTAACGACTAGCCTAAACAATTAGTGCACAAAAAATAAGATAATACAAATATTAGTGTGTGTTTATAAGAGGGAACCCGCTCCTTTTTTTTTACTAGCTCCTGACTTAGAAAAATAAAGGTTCTACCTACCAGTTATAACTGGGCGGATCGCCTGACACACTGAGGGATTTGTCTTGTGAATGAAGATACTTGTATTACGTAATATTCTAAACTAATGTTCTCAATTTTTAATGCAAGTTGAGTTTTCTATTTTCAAGTATTCTCATTATTTTGTTTTACAATTATTAACCTTGTTGTAAAAAAGTTTGGTTTAATTTTAATCTTTTTATATAATGTTAAAATTCGATACCCACTGTGGGGACAGCGCAGATAGCCCAATCTGTAATTTTGCACTTATAAACAAAAGCGAAAATAGATAAGTTCACATCATCATCAATCATCCACATAATTCTAAACAATTTTGGACCAATCAAACATCAGGTCCATCACCTGTTTAGTTCTCAGACCCGCCTGCCAAACGAATTTCCTGCATGGCTTGCTATGTTTACAGACTTAAAACGATAAAATCCGGAGTTCGATTCACAGTAGATAGCTTAATGTGTATAGCTTTGTGCTAAAACAAACAAACACATTTATGTCCCCAGTGGGTTAGCGGTAAGCTTACGGCCCTACAACGCAAAACTGTGGTTCGATTCCCAGTAATGAACAGAACGCAGATAGCTTAATGTGTGTAGCTTTGTGCTAAAACAAACAAAAACACCCAAGACTAAATTTCGGTTTTTTAATGAAGTACATTTGTACTCTCTAGATTTCACAATAAAGATTCCCTTAGGCTTTTCGAACAATGTTTCAACATGTTGTTTCTCGTTGTTTATCCAGATCTGTTCAAAAATGATCCTCTCTATTAGTGAGGATCGCTAGCAGATAAAAAGTTAAAAAGAATCCTTTACATTTGTACAGGGCACTCATAAGCTAACCCGGGGTTAAATCAAGTCTACATACCGTCAAACACATCCAGATTACTCAAAGGCTTTGTGTATAAGTATCCTTATAACCTACTTTAATTGTACACACCGTAATTACATCGATGGGGTACACGCGAAATATCACACATACTTCCAAATAACTATAATTTACGTGAAGTATGATATTGACACAAGTAAACAACAGCAACAAATGAGGAGATATATTAAATACCGTATTTTCCATTGTATTAGTCGATATTTTTTTCCCAAAATAATTTTATGTGCGACTTATATAGGAGTTTTCTATAGTAACAGTGATTCTCCATAGTAATTTTTTTAGTCATCACCATTTTCATAACAGAAATAAAATACAAAATAACATTCAATATTTATTACAATAACAATCATATTTAAACAAGTAACAGATAAAATAATCGTATCCACTATTACAGTTATCATGTTATCAGCACTACTTCAAAAAACGAAAATCAAAAGAGAAATAAGAAATAACATTAAATATAACAATGTATGCATAAAAAATTATAAAAATACATGTTATAGAGCAGTAGGACGATCTTTTTAAGATCGCAGACGTACGACCTATATACAGATGCGACTTATGTATCCACAAAAACTAAAAAAATCCCTAAAAATCAGCCCTGCGACTAATATAAAAGATGCGACTTATAATAAGGAAAATACGATAGTTGTGGACATTTTAGAAATGTTAAATTTATATTCTCGATATGTCATATTTCTTTGTGGAATACAAGTTATATCGTTAAGGAACGTCTCACAACTTAATATAAGTAGCTTGTATTTTCAATCCGAAAAGCATATTATGGCTAAACGGCCAGGTGAGGTATAGCCGTTCCTAATTTAGAACTGTTGACAGAGGGTAGGCAAGTCAGAGGCACCCGTCGCCTACACGGCTACTTTTAATCGAATACAGGAATTGTCACTTTTATAATGTAACCACAGCTGAAAAATTGGAAACATGTAAAGTAGTATATCGCGAGTTCGAACCTTGGACCTTCCGATTCGCAGCTGGCACGCTAATTACTGGGAGTTATTATGTATCTCGTTTCTTGAAATTTAGGTAACTGGATGTGGAGAATAGTATGTTTTCTACACTTTGTAGCATGTCTCGGCTTCCTTCTCTACCTTCTGGTGCTGTTTGCGAGGGTCATTGATCCCAACGGGCAAGGCTTCAATCCTTTGAAATACGAGGAAGGCAGGTAAATATGGCGATGGTAATATTAAACATCTGTACTTTTGCTGGCTTACGATGTCCATCAAAATCCAAGCATGTTTTTCATCCTCATTTTTCAATACATTTTAAAATCTTACAAGACCGTCTTCCTATAAATGTTATACAAAACTCTTGGATATCAGAATACAGTATCATTGGATGATAAATCAAATACACCTGGGTTATACAACTGAAAAATTCATAACATTCAATATTAATCACATTATCATATGAATTATAAACATCAAAATGCAAAACTAGATTTTGTAATCTAATACATCGGTTAAATCTCGGTAAGAAATCACTTTGCATATTAAATTATTATGCAAAAAAATAACGAATACAAGATGTTCATATTTTTGGCTTTGCAACTTATTAACGTGGCCTTCTCAACAGAATACTCCGACAATAGTTACCAGCCTCAAAACAGTTTTATTTGCTTACTTTATTTACTGTAAAGAGAGTGAATAACGTTTCGATCCACTAATGCAAATGAATCCTTAGAATGTCAGTTGACAAAAGTAAACTCTCTACTATTACCTTCGTACTTAACGAAGCCTGAAATTTGTTTTGCAGCACGTGCGCCTCTAGCTTATTCACGCATCTTGTTACGAGTGTGTGTGTGTGTAACTATTCCTGTGTATAGCTATGCTATGATTAAACTTGCCTTTAACATCTTAAGTAGAAATTGTCGTTATATATTTGTAAATATAGCAGCGCTACCGCTACTTTTGAAACTGACATTTTTCATTATAATTTTTTTTATCAACGAATAATGTAAGAATAAAAAACACAAATTTATTGGTAAGTGCTAATACTTTTTTGCTACTATAACATAATACAGACTTCTCAGGACAACCTATCCATATTTGTAAACGATAAGAGGAAAGCAGCTAACAACCATACAGCCTTCGGTACATTCAATGATAGTACTTAAGGAACACAACATAAAAAATAATTAAATATAATGACAGTAATAATAATAATAAATGAGTTAATAAGCTAATATGAAATAATAAATCTTTAATATTAGAAGATATTACGTCTTTTATTATTTGGTTAAATTTATTGTGTTTCATTTTCAAATTTAATTTCAGTAGCATCAGCTTCTCGAAGTTGTTATCCGTCAGTTCAGCTCTCTTTAGCTTCAAAATGTCTTTCCTTGTTGAGAAAATGCGCTCTACAGCTGCACTCGATGGAATGGTCGTATTGAAGGAAATGAAAAGAGCTTTAAAAGCTGCTAAAAGAAACAAGCTTGATTCTATATATTTTGATTGTTTTTTGTAATTATGCACAAAGCTACACAATGGGCTATCTGTGCTCTGCCAACCACGGGTATCGAAACCTGGTTTCTAGCGTTGTAAGTCCGCAGACATACCGCTGTGCCACTGGGGCTTATATTTTGAAGTAGATGGTTCTTTGTTCGGTAACATCTAGTGTTATTTGATCGTTGCTACAAATCGTTGGGACAAATTACTTGCAGATTTTGCTTGTTGTTTAACCCGATGACTACCGGCTACTAACTTTCTTAGTAGGCAATGCAAATGTGAGGGCAAAATCATTTGTGAATTGAAAAAATGATAGAGAACTTATCTTTTAATGAATTTCTGATTTTATTTGTATAAATAGTAGCATAACATTCAAGTATTTGTACAAAATTGTATTCTTTAAAAAGAACATGAAGAAGTCTTCGTCGTCATCTCCCTCGGTGCTGGAGAATGACGAAAAATCACTTAAATCAGCATTTACAGAACTTTCATCACTGCGTCTTCCATTTACTCTGAAAGGTTTTTAATCATCATTTGTTTTACATTTTGTTTCATAGTGTCCGAGCTAATCCAAATCAGTTTAAACCATGAGTGAAAAGCAGCTGCGAGAACGTGACCCTAATTGATAAAGGCAGCTTCAAAGGGCTTCTCAGTTTGAAATCAAAGCATTAACAAGTGACTTGCAAGTCTGGAAGTGACTTGCAAGTTTACCACAAAGATCTTTCAGTTTTATCACACATACGGTAAGTTTTGGCAGAAGTAGTCCTTAGGCCTTAGTTTCATTTTGAAGTAAATCCAGCGCGCGACCTACATGACCTAGCATGACGATTACATATTCTTTGATGAAGTTTATATTCGAAAGGTTGAAACGAGCGATGCCCAGCTCATCACAAACTGAACCCTCTCTCTTCGTTATTATGTTCTCCACATGAAACGAACAGATCGTACATCAAATTCCACCAAGTAGCGCATGGAACAACAAAACTATCGCCCAGTTCTTGTTGTATAAAGTCAGCTGCTGTGGGGCTGCAGCTCTGTTTGTTCCAAAGTGTCTGGGGTTCACAAGTGCCTATCGGAACACTTTCTTGAACGTACCATCGCTCAGAACATCTTTTCTACACCACTGGCTGCTACTAAGTTTAATGTGTTGTATATCGAAGATGCTCGGAGAGAAAGCAAACCTCACTGGACTCTGTTTGTTTGGTTGTTTTGAATTTCGCGCAAAGCTACACGAGGGCTATCTGCGCTAGCCGTCCCTAATTTAGCAGCGTAAGACTAGAGGGAAGGACCTTCGTATTTAACGAAGCCTGAAATTTGTTTTGCAGCACGCATCTTGTGTAACTATTTCTGTGTAGAGCTACGCTGTGCTTAAGCCTAGCTTTAACATTTTAAGTAGAAATGTTCATTGTAGATAGGTCCGGTACGGCCAGGTGGTTAGGGCGCTCGACTCCTAATCTGAGGGTCGCGGGTTCGAATCCCTGTCCCACCAAACATCCTCGCCCTTTCAGCCGTGGGGGTGTTATAATGTGACGGTCAATCCCACTTTTCGTTGTTAAAAGAGTAGCCCAAGAGTTGGCGGTGGGTGGTGATGACTAGCTGGAATAGTAAAGAGTTTACTGTTGTCAACTGACATCCTAAGGATTCATTTGCATTAGTGGATCGAAACGTTATTCACTCTCTTTACAGCAAGAAAGTAAGTAACTAAAACTGTTTTGAGGCTGGTAACTTTTTGGGAGTATTCTAAATACAGTAGTATTTAATAGTAGGGATCGACAAGGATTCCAAATAATTCACGCGCCGAAAAAACTCCCTATCGAATTCCTAAGCGAAAAACCGAACATTCAAAGTATTGATTACGATATATTATACACACGTATACTAATAATATGATAAAAAGGTTGCTAACATTTCCGGTATAACAATTCAAAAATTAGTAAAACAGAAACTTTTTCGTCTGCTACCACATCGGCAGGGCTAGCACCTACACAGCTCGGTCTATCGCTACAAGATTTCTCCAGCTTACTTGATTGGTCTATGGGTATCCACTTCTGATATTCCGATAAAAATCTGTATATATATATACAGGTATAATATAAATGGTAAACATATCATGCACACACTTAAATATCTTTTCAACCCAATTCAAATATATACTTTATACGTGTATAACGTAAAAAGTAAACAAACAAAAGTATTAAAAATTGTGAATTTTAAAATGAAGTAGGGATCCTCCTACAAAAGGTAATGAAATAAGAATCAAAACCATAATCACAAATTTACAAAATTTAATCCCTACTTTGGCAGTTTTATTTTGTTTGTTTGTAATTAAGCACAAAGCTGCACAATGGGCTGTCTATGCTCTGCCCACCACGGGTATCGAAACCCGGATTCTAGCTTTGTAAGTCCGCAGACATACCGCTGTACCATTGGGGGGCTGGCAGCTTTATACACTTATCAGTAGCCCTAAGTAATGATTAAATTTCATAAATTTGTTATTGTGGTTTTAATTATTGTAAAAGTTATAGTTATCAGGGATATGGCTATACTGAAAGTTTATAGACGTTGTTACGTATTAGAATTTCAAATAGCCTGAAATTGAGTTAACTGTTAAATTTGAATTTATTAGTTAAATTGTACTTTGGATTTGGTAGTTAAATCAAGCCGATATATATATAGTCAGTTTATGATATTTGTCAACATGATTGATACACACACAGTTTTCATTTTTAACACAAGTACGTTTTAATATACATACAACAATACAATTTACAATAACAGTTGTTACAAATAGTTATCACAAACTTACAAGCAATATAAAGTCTTTCTTTTAAGCTGGAATTTCTTCGATATCTTATTGAGGGTTCACGATGAGCGAGTTGATTACGAGTTGACGTAGGTATATTTCACTTCAAGGGAAGCTAGCTAGCTTTGTCCTTCGCTATTTATCGGCCCCACACGTCGAGTTTTCCATGATGAATTTATATAATGTTTTCGTAAAAATACTAATGTCCGATGAGAATCCACCGAAGATAAATGATTTGTAATGTTCGAACTTTGTAAAGGTTCCTGGTCAAATATCCGAAGTTTTCCTATTGATAAGAGTTATAATATCACAGTTGTAGTTTCCAAAGTTTTATAGCACACTGATTGTAGCAAACTAATAATAGATACTCTCTTTTGGTGCGTCGCGTTGGTTATATTTATAGGCGTGTGGAGGCCTTCTAAAAAATTCAGATTTACCTATCAGTACTGACGCTAACACAAGTATTTACGTACACACATATATTGTTGACTCTTAC